CAAAAGAAAATCAAAGAAAGCGAACTAATAATAAACCTATTCGATTACGACATAAGACAACTGGTATCACAAAATTTTGAAATCAAAGAAATTGGAGACAGTAAAAATTCTTTGGGAAATTTAACCTTAATAAAAATAAAGGATGACCACCCTCTGCTCCCCTGAGATGAAAAAAGAAAGATTTATAAAGAATTAGGGGACAACTGCCTAATGAATTGTCTTGAAGAAGAACATGACTGGACTGAAATAGAAGATATAAACGATTTGATAGAAAAGCGAAAAAAATATTTAATAGAAGATTTTAAAAGACTTCAAATTTTTGAGGTCGATTAATTAACAAATTTATCCTTTAAAATTTATAAAATTGTCAGGTAGTCAATATTCTTAAATTTCTCTTGTTTGGTTTCTTTCCCTACCACCATTTTCATATCTCGAAACTGCTTTTCAGTTATCAAAAAGTATCTAATATTCCCTATTTTTGGGCAGTTTTTTTCTAATTTTTGAGCGGACTCTTGGGCGTAATCAAAAGTATGACAAAGTTTAACGTAAACCGAAAATTGGAGCATATAATAACCATTTCCTAATAAATATTTGTGAAAATAACGAAAATCCTTACGATTTTCCTTGGTTAAAGTTGGTAAATCATACAAAACTATTATCCTCATTTGTCGATACCTATCCTTCTTCCTCATTTTCGAACCCTTGAACAATTAAAGTGGGAAGTCTGATTTTACTAGTGCTATTTTCTTTTAAGCAAGAAATAAATGATTTAATCATAATGTCAATCGCTACATAAACTTTTGTCTTTATCTTGTTTATTTTAACCGGATAATATATGATTTTTGCTATTCCTTCCCTAACTTGCGAAGATAATTTACTTTCCTTTTCTAACTTAGCAAAATTAGTAAGCACTCAGTGATCAACAATCGGTCGCAAGGGTTCGATAAAATCGCTACTTAAATTAAATCAATTAGTTGATCCACAATGTTTTATTCCTAAATGGTTATTTAAACCATAACTAGTTAATGTTCTTGAAATAGCACTGGTTAAAATTTTATAGCCATAATTTAATGCTCCGTTAATGTTGTCATCGCTAAAACGAACAAAATCCTTACCATATAATTTTTGGAAGAAATATTTAGCCACCACTCCCTCTCGATTAGTTTTATCTCCATTTTCTACCTGTTTTAATTGGGTTTTGATTCACTTCAAGTTGACTTTTGGTTCTTGTTGTTCTAAAACTAAACAACTATTTTCAATTTTCTTTTGAATAATTTTTTTTCACAACAAATCTTTAAATCGCTGGGTCATTTTCAACTGCTTACGAAAAACACTCAGAGGAGAAAAATGCTGATTTAAACTGATAAGTAGACCAGTTGGGTCATATTTTTCGTTAGTAACTATTAAAGAGATATTATTTTCGGCTAACTTACTTAGCAAATGACTAGTTAGGCGAGAATGACTGTTTTCGAGAATTATACAGTTAATATCATCCAGCGAAAATTGTAATTTAACTTGTTCTTTTTTATCAATTAAAGTAAATTGATTGTTTTTAAGACTTAATTCATCATTCTCCCTTACTATTATAGTTTTTCAATTCATGCTAAATAAATAATTGATAAAAAACCTAAAAAATGGAACTGATTAATTAATTTCCTTTAAATCTTTTCTGATTAGTTCTTGAAATTGGGGTCGCATTTGCTTTCAGTTTACTAATTCTACGATAAATGGCAAATCACTTTCTTCGAGTTCTCCTTTAACTTGGCAAATAATTTCATCGGGAATATCTTCATGATAGCAAATATCTAAATCAGAAAACTTTCGGGCAGTTCCTTTTACCCGGGAACCATAAGCATAAAAATGATAGGGATATTTACTCAATATTTTTTGTAAAATTTGGTAATCTTGAAGTTTAATTTGGATCATTTTAATTAATTTCTTGCTTTTTTTCTTCCAAAGTTTTAATTAATTTTTCTAATTCACTAATAAATTTTGGTAAAAGGTTAAGAATATGAGTGATAATTTCTTCTTGATAAGTATGGGAAGTTAAATTCCTTTCCTCGCCAAATCTAAATCAAACTTGTGGATTATCTAAATAACCAAACTGAGCTGCTAAACGAAAAGTTTCGCGAGGACTACGTGCTTCCTTTCCTTCTTGACCTAAAAATCTTTGCAAAATTTTTCAAACTAGTTCATAACTGACTTCAAAGGCTTGAATTGCTCCCATTTCTCCTAATTCATCCAATTCTTCTTCTTCAATTTTATTTAAGGCCTTTTTTAACAATTCCCTCATTTTTCAAAGAGGCTGAATATCAATTATTTCTTTCATTACTTAATTTGACAGAGAACTAAAACACTTTGTAAGACTTATCAGTTTGTTCTTCCGTTTTATTCTTCTTTAATTTGACAGAGAACTAAAACAGCTTTACGACTAATGAACTTACCCTGGGCGTTTTATTCTTCTTTAATTTGACAGAGAACTAAAACTGATGAACAAGGAGAAATAATAGGAATTGGGTTTTATTCTTCTTTAATTTGACAGAGAACTAAAACTTATCAGTATCCGTTTTACCAAGAGCAGTAGTTTTATTCTTCTTTAATTTGACAGAGAACTAAAACCGCCTATTGTGGCATACTTCGCTCCCTCCCGTTTTATTCTTCTTTAATTTGACAGAGAACTAAAACTTACAACTAGTGCAATCACCTACTTCAACTGTTTTATTCTTCTTTAATTTGACAGAGAACTAAAACTAGGCTTGAGTATCACTTACCACAATTTTAAGTTTTATTCTTCTTTAATTTGACAGAGAACTAAAACCAATACTTTACTGAGAATGCTAAATTAGAAGTTTTATTCTTCTTTAATTTGACAGAGAACTAAAACAACAACCTGCTATATAATATATTTTAAGGGTTTTATTCTTCTTTAATTTGACAGAGAACTAAAACGGGAGTAACTAAGTGAATATCTAAATAATAGTTTTATTCTTCTTTAATTTGACAGAGAACTAAAACATCAAGTAATTCTAGTTTTGTCATATATTTGTTTTATTCTTCTTTAATTTGACAGAGAACTAAAACAATTTAACTTATTTAATGATTATAGGTGATGTTTTATTCTTCTTTAATTTGACAGAGAACTAAAACAGTCAGAAATAATTTTAACCTCGTCGTGTCGTTTTATTCTTCTTTAATTTGACAGAGAACTAAAACAGTGTTTTCGTTTTGATTATTGTCTACCATGTTTTATTCTTCTTTAATTTGACAGAGAACTAAAACCGTTCAGCGGTATCTTTGGCAACAAGATATGTTTTATTCTTCTTTAATTTGACAGAGAACTAAAACTACCCCTTTTAAAACCAGGGGTTATTATAAGTTTTATTCTTCTTTAATTTGACAGAGAACTAAAACACGCTAACTTTGAAAAGTAACCAACTGCTTGTTTTATTCTTCTTTAATTTGACAGAGAACTAAAACCTGCCCGTCCAAAATAAACTCTAAAACTAGGAAAATAGGCAATTACTTGCCAACCAAATTTAAGCATTAAAAATGTCCGTTTTGTTAAAATTAGAGATTTTTTTGATTAGAACAGATTTTAGTTGAAGTTTTTTTAGCCAAGCGTTTACTTGGGGGAATTTCATCAATTTGACCCAAAAACTAATAACTGGGCAGATTAGAGGATGCCCGACCTCTCGGCATCAAAGCCTTATCTTAGATTCTCTGTCTTAATACATTTTATAGAAAAAAATATCAAAACTACTTCACTTTTTTACCCAAAATACTAATTTTTAATGATTTAATTGAAGGAGAAATTTTATTAATTGATTTTCTTTCCGTTCCTAACTGGTTAAGTGAATATCTAACCAATTTGTTTTTAATTTCTTTTTCCCGCCGATTAATAGCATTGCTAATTTTGATTATTTTATCGCTGTGTTCTGGAAAAATAGTTTGGAGATTTTCTTTTTTATCATAAATAAGCCCTACTATATTTATAGAAGAAACATTATCGTCGGTTGTCCCAGTATAAATTAAAGGAAGTCCAACCAACCCCATTAATTCACTTTCCAAATTTTCTGAATAAACAAAAGTAAAAGTTTCGTGAGGTCTTAACAATCATTGGTAATTTTCAGTTAATCAATTTCTATTACCATTTTTCTTTTTCCGAAGCAACTCAATATTTTTTACCTTTTCTGCCTTGCTGTCATTTTTAAACCCAAAACCAGCATATTTAGAAGTATCCCAAATGGTATAATTGTCTTTCTTTTTCTTATCCCTTACAATCAAAAAATTATATTTCTCTCCGTATTCAAAATTAAGTTTCTCCAATCCTATTTTTTCCACTAATTTACTTAAAGAAATATTTTTTGGTAAATCAATTTTCTCGTTTTTCTTAAATTTCTCACAAAGGTTAGGGAGAATTTCTTCTCCTTTTTTTCTATATCCAGCTCGCTCTGAAGCAATAAAATCTTTTTTTACTTTATGGTCTGAAACCCAAGAAATATAAGGATAATGAATATTTCCACTTTGTCCTTTAACTCTTTCATAATATTCACTTTCGGTTAAAACTTTTTTGATTTCAATAATTATTTCTTTAATTTCTTTTTTATCTTCTGAGGTTTG